TCTCTCTCTCTCTCTCTCTCTCTCTCTCTCTCTCTTTCTCTCTTTCTCTCTCTTTCACTTTTTCAATTTATTTCCTTATTTTTCTTCTTTTCTTTTTAGAATATTTTTTTGTTTTTTTTCCTCTTTTTTTTTTGGTTTTTGAAAAATGAAGAAAACCATATCTCTAGGCTCGACAAGGCTCTACTTACCGGTATCTGGAGGCTCAAACTCTTTCTCTCTCTCTCTCTCTCTCTCTCTCTCTCTCTCTCTCTCTCTCTCTCTCTCTCTCTCTCAAGTGACTTCTCCTCTCTCCCGACGCAATACTAATTTGGAAAACGGGAGAGAATTTTATGCAAATGGGGGAAGATTCATTCCTGTTTTGCGACTTAGAACTGGGCGGAGAGAGAGAGAGAGAGAGAGAGAGAGAGAGAGAGAGAGAGAGAGAGAGAGAGAGAGAGAGTCTCACCACAAAATAACAAAATGAGAATGAATCTTCTCAAGAACGGCGAGACACTGGTGGTTTAACTGACATTTTGCCATGTCATCGAACATATCTTTTCTCCTGCACTACCTACCACTACTCCTAAGGCTATTAAGGGGACCCCCGCAAGCATAGTTTTCCACCTCTCGTCGATGAAGGGAGGTTATCTCTCTTGGTGGAGGGAGGTAACGGCATGTCTACCTCTGTTCGGTGAAGGGAGGGTACCTCTCCCCGTGGAGGGAGGTAACGACATGTTCATCTCTTTGCCCTACCGTTTAGGGTGTAAGGTTCGGACCGCTAGTGAGGACCCAGCACACAATAGGACTGACCATTTCCCATTTAGTGTGCTTTTCTTTTCATCTTCCCCCACCCCTATTGAGTAATAGTAATGTTTAAAGCCAACACTCCCCCAACAATAGATCGAAGCTCGTATTGTCTAAAAAAAAAAAAAAACATTTAGTTTGTGCATGTCAAAATTGAAGAGCATTGGGTTCATGAGTTCGCAACCCGTCATGGTTGCATTTTTCGCCCTTGAGTAATTTCATTGTCCTTCGTTATACCGGTCAGTCCTATGGGCCCAACGGTCTTCGGAAGGGAGAGAAGGTTAACAACAGTCGTATTTTTCATCACCATTTCATGACACCCTTCAACACTTCAGGATGCAGTCTGCTTAAACATGTGGTTTTCAGGGTCTTCGGACCTTTCACCACTTCATGACCATTCAGGTCTGAAAATCCTGAATGGTCCTGAAGTGAAGAAAACTCAGAAGACCCTGAAAACCACCTGTTTAGGCAGGTTACATCCTCAAGTGGTAAAGGGTGATTTTCATGGTTTTCGGACCTTTTACCACTTTAGGACCATTCAGGATTTTCAGACTGCCCAAAACTCTCACTTGACCACTTCAGGACACCCTTCACCACTTCAGGATGCAGCCTGCCTAAACAAATGGTTTTTTGGTCTTCGGACCTTTTACCACTTCAGGATTATTTAGGATTTTCGCACTGTCCAAAACTCTCACTTTAGAATGTTCATTCCTGAATTTTCAGCTACCCGATAACCGCTTGTGTCGGAAGAGTGGTGAATTTGTAGGGCAGACAATTTTAGGAGGATCGGGCAGTTGTTGTTTACTGAGGACCGGTAGCCGTCTGTAGGAGGCCTCGATCCTGAAAATTTTCGGAAAGGTGGAATGGTGCGGCCCAAGCGGAAAATGGCGCCGGCATGGCTACACCCTTGCCCCCAGTCAGCCTAGTTTGACTCGGCGGGCTTCTCACTGCAGTGGAGCACTTCTTCTGAATATTCACCCATTCCATGCCAGATTCAAACACAACACAAAGAGGCGCGACTGTTTCTCTCCGTCCATCCGTCCATGTGCGCATGTCTCTCATAAAGAGGCGTCTCTCTCTCTCTCTTTTTTTTTTTTTTTTTTTTCTCTCTCTCTCTCTCT